TGCGAAGCCATCGCCCACACGGATCTAGCGCGATGGTGGACGCCCTCACAACTGCTGGCCCACTCGACAAGACAAATGCCCTGCCATCCGGGTGCACCCAAGGAATCCACCATGTACTATGAGTTCTGAGGCAGTCTTATGGCCCACACTGCCTGACACAAACCTTGCGATGTTGCCTGAACGGACCCTTTCCACTGGTCTCTTCTTCGCCATTTGTTGCCTTCCGGTGGCTATCCTCTGGACTCCGAGAAGCTACAGGCCAACGAAACAGAACCATCCCTTGTTCTCTGCTGCGAGGCCGGAAGCTGAAGGCCGAAAAAGAGGTGGCTCCCCGCTCTTCGAACACTGCTGAAACAACACGGCAGGGATCACCATGGCCCCAACCGATCTGGGCTGAAGTGCATTGACCCTGGTGACATGTCCACCTTGGATCAGAACACACTTTTCACAAGAGGCGGTGGATGTTGCTTTGGAGGACTTGTCCCACGGCCCAATTTTCCAGCCTCAAGCACTCCGAAGCCATACCACCCTCAGGCGCTTGTGGATGCCAACTGGCTGGGAAAAGCATGAGCATCTTGGCCCGCGCTCTTCCACCCCACCCATTTGGTAAAGGGCAAAAATATAAGCTGGTGCCAAACTTTGACTCATGCAAGTGCTTCGACCTGTGGGTCCGCGCCAATCTAGAAGAGCAATTCTAGCATCCCAGTTGGTGAAGTTTCGAACGGAGCTGCAAAACAAGATTATCCTGAAGAACAAAGAACACTCCCCAACAGCCCACACGAGCCCGAGTGGAAAGCTTCCAACCTATGAGAGAAAGGCCTTGTTTGCCGATTGTTTCAATAGCTTTATCATGCTGCGCCTAGACTTTGGATTTTGGGGATCCAGCATTAGCTGACAACGCTTGCCATCTCCAGCAATGAGTACGGTTAGAAGTCTCACTAAACCCCCCTTGCTGTCGAATGTGCATGGCTGAGCTGGGGCTGCACAAACTAGCCACCGGAGACCCCGAAATTGAGAAGCCCCTGCCTGTTTCATCAAAGTGGGAACTCTTTTGTTAGCAATTTGGGTTGGCAGCGATTCCTCCGAGTGGCATGTTGCTTCCTGACCTCCGAACCCTGGGGCGCCGGACCAAGAGTTGGCTCCACATGACCTGAGACACACCGCTGGCGAAGGAACCCAGAAAAGGAGGGAGGATGAACGAAGGACGGCCAACGGACTGAAAACGTGGGGGGGATCCAACTGACACCAAACTCATCAATCGGAAGTCGGACAAATGGGTGCTTTTGACGTACTCTTTTGCCGGTGGATTTAAAGGGAAACTTGAAGGAGCACCACCTACTTTAGGGGTCACCTATTTTAACACACCCCCAAATCTGTTTTGCAAACAGGATCCCCTGTTGAGCCTCGCCTCGGCTGTAGATGCCGTTCGCTTGCACCGCCTCGCCATCCCTGGCTGCGTGCTGGGATAAACCGTGAGCCAACCGGAAAATGGCAGACCAACGACTGTAGAATTGAGAGACGTGCACGCCCCTCGCCTGTGTGAAACAGGGGATGGAAGTGCAGAATGGGGAGCATGTTTGGCCGACTCAAAAACACAAACACTGGTCTGAACTCGATGCTGGAAGTCCAAAACAAGTCGCACTGAACCAAAAACCTTGGCTAAGCCTGGCTTTTCACCTAAGAGACCACCAAGAAAACAACCGCAGACTCTACCCATCCACCGTCTCGGTGGCACTTGCTCCTAGGTCGTCGGGTCTGAGCCTGCTGGAGGTCACGTCCTCGAGGCTGACGCAAAGCAGCTGGTTCAACACCTACGAAAGCGGATAGCCAGGTGGGCTGACTCATGTCTGCAGGTTGGTGATTGGTACAACTGTTCAGATAGTGATAGAAAAGGAGACTTTGCTGGGGTAAGGGTGTAACAGTTGGTGCAGATTCATGACACTTCATGCCCTTGGCGTCAACAATGATGCTATGATCAGTGAGCCAGCCCTTCACGGATCATGATAGTTTGGGATACTTGCAACATTTAGGGCTTCAACGCTAGAAGGTGGGAATTGCTGCCCTGGGCAAAACATGAGTGCTGGCCTTCCGGCCAAGACGGGGTTGAGAAGAGAAACACCCATGTTTCTACTCCAGCTGTTGGCCTTTGCGTTCTGGTATCCCGGTGCTCGGATTTCCTTTGCAGCACGACTTCCTCACCGAATCCTGCCCCAAACACTGAAAGCACGAAGCGGTCCAACATTGACAAAAGTGATAAAGCAGCAACGCTGCTGTAAACACCGAGCATGTTTGGGTTACATCTGTTGGTCTAGCCAGCTGCCCAAAGAGCACCGAACAAACCCAAATGTGCGCGCCGACTTCTTGCTGTGGCGAGGATATAGCAACCTTGCCGAACTCGATGAGGCTGCCAAACAAATACATATATCACATAACGTGATCATTGCCACGTAGCCGCGAATCGATGAACACATAAAAGAGAACAATAACATGCCAGTGCTGCCAATGACATTTAACAGCACCCCCGCCCTGCATGGCCCCGAAACGGAATGAAGCGAGCAAATGCAAGCAGCAATGATTCCATAGTTCCCCAAGCTTGGTGACTTCGCTTTAAGCATGCTGACGAGCCAACAATCCCTCTCTCACAAAAGGCCCATACCAATCAAATGGGAGGTGAACGAAGGGACAGCCACCAGGATTGGACTAAGGCTCGTAGCTAGAGAACATAATGTAGCTCACTTTGGGGAGCTCTTCCCCAGTTCATTCGAACAAGCAAACATTTTGTGCAAATCAAAACATGGAACCTGACAGGGCTCTCCACTCAGCGACGTGGGCCATTGCAACTGTCAGGTTCCGAGCCGGGATAAGGATTTCAGGAGCGACTTTGAACAACCCAGCAATTCGTTCCCATCCGGGTGCCCGAGCTGGCAGTTGTTCCGGCAGGCCGTCCAAAGCACTACTCGGCCTTGGCCGAAGGGGGGAGCTACCTTCCAAATAGAGCCCTTCATCACTGGAGCTCATTGAGAGAGTGCCATGTCTTGCAGTGGACTCGTCCATTCTGAGAACAACTGATTGTTTATTGTTTGAACATGCAAAAAAACGTCGGGAAAAATACAAACGATGACATACGGATAACACTCAATAACAAACGGTGGCATCTCACCTTGGCCCGATCTGTTGTACTCATCTTTTAATCATCGGGCCACACACATTTATCAGACAATCACGGAGTGCCCTCACCAAGCCAGTCACTTTGTGTAGTGCAACGTGGCCAGCCCTTGCAGCACATCTCATTCACCAAACCTGCGCCGCATACCGTATACCATTTGTGCCCAGCCCAAGACCAGCTCTTTGCCACCCAAAGGGGTCCCCCACTCAGGGGCAGCCAAAGGGACGCCTTGGAATGAGCTCAAGGAAAGTCGATCAATTAGTTGTAAATTCTGCATTTGTTCAGTCTCCAGCTTGGTTCTTGGAGTTGGGACGCTGGCAACAGCCGAGCGGGAGCTGTCTATTTGAAAGTATCCGGGTCCGCACAAACAGTTTCACAGGCATGTCTGGGCCCGGGTGTTATGTTGTCTTCCTTGACAGTCGCCCATGCCTTTTCAAATAGAAGTGCTCGGCTGAGCTGAGGCTCCGACGAGGGCACGGTCCTAACCTGGACGTTGCCCGTCCTGGGGGCGCTTTGCCCAAGCCAAGGCGCTCGCGGGAGGGCCGGGGAGGGGGGTGAAGGAAGGGGGAAAGGATGTGGTCACCAGGTAGAAAACAAATGGCGCCCAGGGTGTTCAACTCTCAGTGCGGGGTGAGGCTGACACATGACATAGGACCTTCCCCCGCCGAGCCGTCAACCCTACTCTTAACATGACCCAACCAGCCTGCCGTTGAGAAGACTAAGCATTTGCCCCTTGAGCAACTGCTTGCACCGGGGCTCGGAATATGCTCCATGCCAGTGGAGCTGGGTAGAGGTGCAACTTAAACTTAGGCTGTGGCTTGCAAAGCCTTCTGGGCGCCCAACTCTCCGGCCGCGAGGCTGAGATTGAAGGCCTGGCAAAGGTTTCCGAAACATTATTCCAGTCCAAACAACGAAGCCGAATGCATGGATCGGTGGCTTGCACTTCTTCCATACCGTGCTAACCATGAACCTAATCTCAAACCCACCAGCCAAGAAAAGCACGTTGGAAGCTGGAACCCGTGACTGGCACAACGCCTGCGTGAATCCGCCATGCAAACCAATGTGGCTCACCTAACAAGGGTAAAACCCGTTGGGCCACTTCACTAAAAATGACGCAGAAGCTGGCCAACAACAAGTTCTGACACTGACACTGCATTCTGATGTTGCCAGCTGCACACGCCAGCTTTGACATAGTTTGCCCAGCATGACCGGCCGCTCAAATCTGCAAACCAACAGAGTGCTGATTGACGGCACGAAAGCAGTTCGGCAGATGTAGCCCCCAATTTTGGCAGAATCAAGCTCATGGGGTTCCTGCTGCTCAACGTGTGCGTACTGGTTTTTGGGTAAGATATTCCAGCACACCGTACAACGGACTGGCAGCAAAATGATCAGCCATGCAGACCGTGGCTGCACAGATCAGATCACCAAGCATGTGCGTATCGTTTAGACATGACCAAAGACTCTTCTAGTACCTACCATGCCTGTTTGCTCGATTGCTCATCATTTGACAATGTGGATGTCTCACTTTGGAGCCTCCGCAATTCCCGCTGAATTAAATCCTGGCGCCAGTCGGGTGCGACCGTGTTAGCCGCCCCGATGTAGCACCCTCTTTTGTACAAGTCGCACTGCGTGCCACAAACCCGCTGCTGTTTCTGTGTGTTTTGCCCAGCCAAAATCCTCACCAGCCCATGTGCCAGACCATTGTTTTGGGCATACAAACGCAGCAACCAGGCCTGGCTAAAAGTGGTTTTGCCCCAGGTCAAACCAAAAACCCTTCCAGCGCTATGCCAAAGGGCCCTCATGTATGTACTTCAACCTGAGTTGAGAAAAAACAAGCGCACCGAGTTCTCCCGAAACCATTCAGCGGTTTGCCGGCCGTGGACTGCTGGCTAAAAAGCCCCGGCTTCCTCAGTCGTCCGTCATCACCAGCGCTGCGCCAGCCAGGATCCAGCGGTTCTCCTCCTCGTCTGGATCCATGCGGAGGTTCACCTCCGGTCCATAGCATCCAACCCCTCCCTCCCCAAAAACAGGACCCCCACAAAGTCTGAATCCTATGAATGCAAAAGTCAAAAAAGGGTTTGATCTTGACGCACTGACATGTTCGCACAGAAATACAGACAAAGGGGTCCGATGAACCGAAGGGTAGGTAACAAATACAGAAAAGCTTGCCCAAAAGGATCCGATCAAACAACTATGAAGGAAACCAAGAATAGAACAAACAAAGCCCAAGGGCTGAAAACCCCAAGGGCAAGACTAAGCAATACAGTTCTATCCAGTCCTGCAGAACAAACTGAGAAATACTAACTCAATGACTATTCGAACGGGATCAAATTTGGGCGAGGGTGGGGCCTTTGATTCAGCAGGCCCCCACTACGCTCAAGCCAGGACTCTACCCGGCACAGCATGTGGTCAGGTAAATCGACGCACAATGACAGAGGGAACAGCCACACATAAAATGGAGGCGATGAAGGACTAAAACTGGAGTGGGAAAACCACCGGTTGGCCCAGCTATACCAGTGGTATCAGTTTCAGGCCCGTCGAACACAACCAACTCCCTTGCCGAGCGTGGATCAAGTCTGATTTGCAAGAGCCATTCGTTGTGCGTTGCTTGTTTTGCATCAGATCTTGGGACGACCGCCAAGATACACTGCACGTGCGTGCATTTGGCTGGCCCTCGAGCCACTTGGAGTACCGCTTGCATTCCTTTCTGAGCCCTTGTTCATTGACACATCGAAATTGAGTCCCATGGAGGTGTTGGCTTTCAGCTCCAACAAAGCTACCTGAAGGGGGCTCGCAGCTCAAGCTAGGCCCAGGTGCACTGGGGTGGGAAGGGATACGGCCAGTGCGCCTTCATAACCCTCTAACCCTTGCTTCCCACAATTGTATGTGCCTTGTGTTCTTGGTGCTTCACTTGTGCATGTGTATGCTTGCAGCTGCAGCAAAGTCTGGGTTGGGTGCAGCTGGCAAGCAAAACGCCCACCCACCCACCCTGGTGACCACTGGTGTTGGTAAAGCTTGTGGGACCAAGTGCCCTGGGGTTGGGCTGGCTGCAGGTTGCACACTGCCTGGTGTGCCACCTGCAGCCTGAGTGGTCAATCTCTGCAGTGAAAAGTGTGTGGGGACCCGGACGTTCCTGCAAGTCGTGCTTTTGTTGCCAGGCAATATTGTCACTTTTGCTGCATTGGTCGCTTTGCATCAAAATGGAGTCAGCCAGCGCGAGCACCCTCGCAAACTTTTCCGCACCTGTGTGACATAGGTGGCTCCCCGCATCGAGGTGATAAAGACGGGGCAGTGATACATGTTCTCCCAGCTCATCTCCTGTCACTCTGAACTCAGAAAGGGACTTCCACGGAACGCAAAAACGCCTCCTTATTCCTTTCCTGGGGGAAACCTATGGCCTCTCTGACCCCCAAACTGCATTCTGGGGGTGGGGGGGTGCTAAAGTGGACACTGATCGTCACATATGGGCGTGTCTTTTTTTGATGGTATATCTTTCTGTGGTTCTACAGGCAAACCAAACGTCCTGGGGGTCCCCTAAAAATGGTTCTGGCCATATAGTAGACAATTGTCAAGTGGCAGTTTTTTGGGCGGCCGTTTTCAGGCGGCAATTGTCCCCGCCATTGGTAACGCAGCTGCTGAGCAGCCCCAGCAGCGAAGGCGATTCAGGGTTCATTCTATTCGCTAAAGCGGGGGGCAGGGTTGGCAAGTGGTGGATATTGCTGGTTCTATGCAGCTGTCAAAACAGGCAACACGTATGACATCAACATCTTGAGGCATATACCCTCAACCTGAACAAATTTAAATAGGGGGGTGCTGAAGCTAATTTTCCTCCAAAAGGAACCTTCTGGTAGGTTCAATATTCGTAGTGCAGGAGGGTAGGCAAAATAATTTCGTGTCAGCTGGCCAGCACCACGAGAAAGCCCCCAAGACCAGTTCGATCCTCGATGTGCACTGAGTAGATGCTAGCCACCGGCATCTCGGGATGGAGCTCCTTGGGCATTGGCACTCGGATTCCCTAGGCACAGCCTTCAGCAACTTCTGCTATGCAGGGCTCCGGGCGTGGCTTTGGCGATTCAAGTCATGCTACGAAGACGCCATGGCTCTCCTTTTCCGAACGTCAATGTTGGCTTATTCTAAACTGTGGCAAAAAGGCTGGTTGGCGATTCGGTGCTCCAAAGCCGTAAACGGACGGACTCATGCCTAGTCTGCAAAACCACTTGTTGCACAAATACGAAACTGTAGGCAAACATGCGCAGCATTGCGATAACCAGTATTGCCTCCATGATGTTGCTAAATTATCTTTGGCTGGACTCATCATACCCAAGAAGCCAAACAACCGAGCAACTGAAGCCTGTTTAGGCACAAGCACAAGCAACCAACCGACCCAGCCAAGCCGAAGGGACAAGCACCCAGGAGGAACTAACCAACCAAAAGACCCAAAAGGTGTTCGGCCAACAGACAAACAAAACAAATGGACGTGAATGGTATGTTCAACATGTTCAACCCCTTTGAGGCTAAGACACAACAGCCATTTGGGATTCTCGAATGGGGTCTTGAAACATAGCAACCCGGCAAAGGGCGCCGACACGGCTGAACAAATGCGGACCTGAGCTAAATCAACCTCTTGACTTATTTTGTGTGATGCTCCCCTATTGACTAGTTGACCTGTGCTTGGCTTGTAACGTTCCTTTTTGGTGGGGTGTCCATTGAACATACTCACAACCCCGCAAGGACATGTCTGACACCCCGCAGCTCCTTCATCTTTGAGTCGGAGACGTAGCCCTCGTCGTCACCTTTCCCCTCCTCCCAGCTGGCGCCCTCCAAGAAGAGCCCGTGGATGTAGACGCCGTTGCTGGGCAGGCTCACGATGTCCTGACCGCGGGGCTCTGGTTCTTTCTGCTGTTAAAGGCAACCCGAGAGGAAGCCACGAATTTTGCGGTTCCCCCCGTTTGAGACAAACCCGACTTAATTGGAAAGACGTGTCCAATTTACATTGAATTTTGTGAGTACCAACCATGCGGGAGGATATTCCCAGTAAGAAATAGTCTGCCATCTGAGCAAGCGACTGTGTAGTCCATGATGTTCAGGAACGTCGCTCTGTTGGTCATGTAGTCTAACGGCAGCTGCTTGTCTCCTGGGCAGAATGTCGATTTGAGCTGGCAAGCTTTCAACGCGTTACCCCCCAATCTTCACGCGAACGCACACACAAAAACAGATACACACAGAGCAGCCGACCAAAGACAGGGATGAGCGTGGGCACAGCCAAACTCAGGAAAATGCATAAGACTAAGCCGATTGCAAATTTAAGAACTGAAGGAACTGCACACACTGAAGATGGCACGCCAAGGCCCGAAAAAAGATCACGTACAAAACACGGCCAGGCTTCTGGCAGTAACCTGCATGACGGCGGTGAGGAAGGCCATGGCGTTGAAGAGTCCTGGACGAGTCTTTGACATGCACAAGCGTGTCAGCGACCGGGAAACAAACAGGTGACTTCAACGTGTTGATGCGACCAGTGAGTGGCAAAGGGTGCACACTCGGAAAAGTTTTTTGGTTGGCTGGCTGCCTCGCGTCGTTTTGCAATATCTGCACTTCTGAACGTTTGTTAATATGCAATGGCAAATGGTGCCAGCGCTTGGTTGCCTGAATCAGTATTTACGTGCAAATCCCTCCTGGACGCGGACTGCATGAGATGCCTGAGTGACGGGTCTGAGCTCCCGAGATGTGAAGTGATGTCTTAACCTTGGGCTGTCCAATGTATGACCGAGTGTTCAAACGAGTTCCACGGTTCCAGTGCCCAACAATAAGTTGAGTAGCTACACGGCATGCTGATCACGTTGGCAAACCTGAAGGCTGGATAATCAAACCAGACTTCAAGGTGCAAGATTGCTGGCTTCTTCCTCGCTGAGCGGCATGAATCTGACCCCCAAGCACCGCCAATTCACGGAAGGCTGGAACAAAACCAATTCCGGTACATCCCGGGCCTGAGATCCAGGTGGATTTCAGCACTCCGTTGCGGTCATTGGTCCACTCCACCAGCTGCTGCATACGGAGCAGCAAGTCCTGTGACTTCAGTCACTAAACCCCTCTGCATCGCCACCGAATGCCTACGAACCGAAGCTTGATGGCATCACGGGCCCGGTTGCTTGCAAACATCCTGAGGGAGAAAAGTCCTGCAGTAACAGCGCGGGAAATTTGATGCTGATATAGAGTGCAACAACAAAAAAGGCACCCGATACCTCCCATTTTTGTCCATGTTCCTGAGGTACGTCTTCGTATTTCATTGACTCGTTTACTGAACAAAGCGAAAGTCACATCACAAAGGCAGGTTGGCAGTTGTAAATCCTCCGCTGCTTGTCTTGGCAAGCGGAAGCTGCAGGTTTTGATACAAACAAAGTATGCTGCCCTTGGCAGTACTAGGCAGTGTAGAGTAATTTTGCCAACGCGCAGGGTTTTGGCAATTCGTGTGTTGCAACCTTGAAATTCAGGACTGCACACCAAGACAGGGGTTTCAAAGCTCGATGCAATCAGGCTTCGCTGCCCTCTCAGAGTTCTTGAGGCCAACATGCTTGAACCTTCCTGTCACTCTGATCAAGATTCGAGATAGGAATGCGGGAAAGCACTGGGTCTGATTATGCTCTCAGTCCCCAGCCCGAAATAAGGTGCACGCAAAGAAGGCGCAGGGGCAACGACCGACGACCGAGGTTGATCCATGCGCTTTGCTTTAGCCCCCTGGAAACGGTGAACATACTACTGTATATAATACTTCCAGTAGCAAAGCCAACCTAGGAAAAACAATTCCCCTGGCTGGCTCTAGATCCAATGTGTTAACTGGATGCAAGAGGTTGTAACATACAATTATGATAGTTCCTGGCACCAGCCAATTAATGTTCGTGAGCAAATGGAAGACAAGAAGCGGGCCGTTGCTTGTTGCGTGTCCTGGAACCAGGCGGAGAGCGACTTCAATGAGGGGTACGCGAGGCTCTGCCAGGTGTCGTAGACTCGGTTCAGCTGCAGCGACGTAGATAGCTGCCTCAGGAATTCCAGGCCCAAGACGTCAATGGAGAAACGCCAGCCAAATGGCCAGTGGAAGACCAACAGCAAGTAAGAAAAAGAGCATAGAGAGCGGGAAGCTTTCAGCACCTGAGTTCATCTGTGGAGCAGGCATCCCTGAGAAATAAGTGAGGCAATTCAGAGCTGACAAGCTGGAAGAGCCTTAAACAGCCGCAAGCATGATGTTCCGATCGAGCGATGAACATCTTCACCCACACCTCTTGAAAAATGGCATGGTCGTTCTCAAGAGAAAGGCGAAAGCTTTCCGCATCCATCATTGTAATGACAAGAAGTTCTTTGCATGCCCCGTCTTTGAAAAGGTCATGTTTCCAGACTGGCTTCTGCCCAGGGGGAAGCTTGACCCGATTGAACATGTGGCCTTGAAGAAACCAAGCGTGATGCAAAGAGTCTACCAGTTGGTTTGCCGAGCTCGGCTGCAGCACACAAGTACGCCACCGCCTTGTGTTGCAATCACCCTGTTTCAACGGGCAGGCTAGGTTTCTGTCGATCAGCATGCGACATCAGCACAACCCACAGGCTTGGCAGCCCACCAATTCAGCACCAGCTAAGTATGGCGATGTATGCGCCTGTTAAAAATGAGGCAAATTGGTCGGTTGCTTGGGGTGCTGATGGCAGGCAAGCTCTTGGGCATAAACGCGCCGAGCAAACCAAACCCAGCCAAACCAACACAAACTGAGCCAAGCCATATCACTTCAAGCCAATCCAACCCAGGCCGCACCAAAGCAAGCCAAACTAACAAGAGCAGACCAAGCCGACCAAACATAAAAGTAAAGACCGGCGGGATCGCCAGTTCCTTGCTGCCCCCTTCACCACAAAAACAACACGGAAAGACAAAGCACAAATGATCGCAGGAAACAATGCGGCCTTCACAAGGGCAACCAAACGCCCACCGGATCCCCCATGTATCCGGACGTGCGTAGACGTGTATGTCCATGAGAATGTACATACATATATCAGCGCAATCATGCTCTTGCATCCTAATTTGTACAATTGCGCGCGATAACACGCAACAATACCCCAAGTCGACAAGAAATCCATCTCTAACAACAGCACACCAAAAAACACCCATCTTCCACAAAGAGACCAGAAACAAACTGCTCGCCCCCCCCCCCCCGCTCTCCCCCCTCCCCCTTCTCCCCTCCCCCCTCCTCCCCACCCCCCAAACGAGGCGCTCCATGCCCTCGGTGACGTTCAACGCCCCGGAGATGCCCAGCTCCAGCTCCGAGAGCTGCGTGCGCATCGCCTAGCGATCGATGGCCCCTGGCCACTTGTTGAAGGGGTATCAAAAGGCCCAACGACAAAAATGCACGGGACGTGTCTAAAATTGCTCATGTATGGGTAAAAAAATATATATATATATAAGACTATACATATGATCTTATATACATGTCTACATCTATATATATATATATATATATGCCAGCTTCCTTTTAGTGACTACCAAACTGAGTGTTGGCCGTAAGTGGCTTCTTTTTGACTTTCCAATATGGCCTTTTTGCCTGCAGCGTGCAACGTGTTTTTTCTCACGCGTGCTGGTCAACAAAAAACATGGCCAACTGAAGTGCAGGCAGCGGCTTGCGCATTATTATTCAAATGCGAGTGTCAATGTCGTGTTATTTGAGCGTCGCGCGGAGGCGAATCGAAGTCACTTAGGTTACAAAGAGGCTGCTAATGGCAGTGTTAACTAGCCCGTTTAAGGGTCATTCGAGTGTCGCTGCTTGCTCGACATCAACTGTGCTCAGTTTGCAAAGGTTGGGCTCAAATGTACACTTCTAGAGGTAGCGAGCAACCACTTGTTTCCAAGTCGCCCTTCTGTAGCCTAAGTGGCCTTAATCTCGCTTAAGTGACCTGTTGAAATTCAGCTAACAGACCTTATGACCTTATGTTCGAAATGGATCATGCCACTGAAATATGCTGGTGTAACGTATTTACGTAGTCAGATTATCAAACTGTGAATTATGGCCTGTCAGACTTTGACTCTTGTCAACACACCCAATCAATGCTGACATGTCACTAAATTTCACATGCCAGTGGAACGATGCCAAGTTGCTCCTGTTGGTGATGTACAAAGCATCGTCTGGTATACATTTGGGGAATCCAAAAACCCATCATTACCCATGCATCTGACTGACCCTGATGAGATCCTGGCCCCCGTCAGAGTTCTACACCAAGTCACGCCAACCAGCAGATTCATTCGATCACTCTCCTGGCAACATGCAATGCCTTGTGCAACAAAATGCTTTCATGCAGGGCGGTACTGCTCAAGATGGATAAGACTCACCCTCACTCACGATGTAGGGCAATGTAGGAAGGGCAAGTGCTATGTTCAAAAGAAGGAAGTCGGAATCGAGCATCACAACTTACGCATCAAAAACGCGGGGGGATGGGTCGAGCTTGCACATCTCAACGGGCGAATGGGCATAGCCTCTCCCAAGGGGTTGGCCGGGTCCTGTCCGGAACAGGTGCTCTTGCAACGGCTCTCACTGGGCTCTCACAACAGCACACCAAAACCCTGCGGGAGGAATAGAGTCTAAAACACTTTTGCAATAAGTACCAGTCCTGCAGCGAGGTGATGACATAGGGCGTATAGTCCTCCTCTCGCAACCTGCGAAACCCACAGCTCCAGGTCAAAACAAACGAATTACTTCGGAGCTTTGCGCTAAAACGAGCGCTCAATCAGAGGAACCCAAACCCCGTCAGCATCTCGCACAAGCATCACTAAGCTACGGTAGGCACGAACATCCATGCAGAATACTTGACCCCCATAAAGGTGAAGACATTTTGGATGGCTCTCTGTTTGGTGTGCGTCTGGGTTCTTGAGGGCTAATGGAGTTGAATAAGCCATGGGTGATCCATTAAATGAGGACATCGTTTGCAGAAGGTCAGGCCGAGATGGGGTAACGATAACGCATGTTGGCCTCATGCCTTCGCACATTGACAAGCGCGACTCCCTCTTCATACATCGTCCCAGGGAGCCCAACTATGCAGGACTTGGGGTGCCTGTGCCGGGGCTAGTCTTACTCCCTACTCGAGTCTCTCTCGTCACCTTGTCGTCAGCTAAGAACTCCCGGAGCGCTCACAGCCACTCCCGAGGGCAAACCTCCCTGGAGATCGCCCGCCAGTCGCCCGCCTGCTGCGGATCTCCACCATGTCCAGGTCCGGTGGCAGCTCATCCTGCCGAGGTGCGGAACGGAAGCACGGCACCCTTGTGCCAGGTTCCAGCCCCCCACCCCCAACATTTTCAGGGTATATACTTACCCTGGTGTGGGTAGTTTCAAGTGGGTGATTTAGGTTGGGATTGAAGCTCGGGTTCTCGCAGATCAGGGATGTCAGGGGTGTTTGGGGTCCTGGGCATTTGGATGGGGAGCAGGACGCTAAAACAATGACATACGCAAGGGGTGGATTGTTGATGCCTGAGTTTAGAATGTATGCAGTGCTGGCACAAAAATGGTGAGCAAACGGGTGATGCTTAAAAAAAAAAAAACACCCTTCCTCCTGCAGTGTCTCCATCCGTTGGGGAAGGGTTGGGCATCAAATGGCCGCAGAACATGCTTGGCTCGTTGGCCTGATATGGCACGGGTCAAACGGTCAACTAGTAGTTGCACCCAGTGGTCATGAAAGAGACATCTGCTTCGCATTCATGCAGAGAGTGAGCTTAACGTGGCTTCCGGAAGACAATTGCATCTCACATTCGAAGAATGAGTCTAAACAAGCCACGCCAGAAACAAAACCGCGGTGCCATCCGCTCGGACCTGAGGCTGGGTCCTTGTACTTGGTGATGAGAGGCATGGAGGCCGCCAAATCCAGCTGCGCAGCGCCCGCATCGGCGCCGGAGACACTTTGCACGGTTTTGAAGATATTGATGCCCTGACCTCACAGGCTCCGCAGGCAGCAAGTATAACAATGGGGGTCTCAACCCGGAAGGCGCAATGCGTGGGATACCGCTACAAGGAAAACCACCAGCTTCAGCTGGCATAAGCATTAAGGACTGAATTTGAACAAACAAGTCAAAATTGTCGAACAAGGGTGATCTTCACATCCACACAGAGGGAGGGGTTCATACATTTTCCACCCCTTCATTCCCTGCCAAATGGCGGTTTATCCAAAACTCGCCTTCGAAATGGCCGACATGTTTCAGATTGGCTCATTTTGTCTTCCTTTCGCCAAACCTCTCCATGGTTAAGATGAACGGGACAGGGGTCTGGACTTCCGTGCAGCCCACCACTGGGACCGCCGTGTTTTTGGCCCAGCGGCTGGTGAGGAAGCCGATCTCCGCGTTGGGGTGCAGCCCAAAGAGCTGCGGCATCTCCGGGGGGAAGCGCTCCTCGATGAACTTCTGATAGGTGCCTATGGCAAACGCGCGAGAAACCACGGGGCAAACCATGGGCAACGTGCTTGAAACCTGCCTAGGGACACCGTAGGAAAACCATAGGGGAGGAAAACGAAGGGAACTCCTTGCGACGCTTGTGACGCGTCCTAGGGTCCCAGGCAAGTGACCGGACAAAGCAGGGCGCTCTTTCTGATAGTTGAATTTAAAGGAATCCCATCCAAAACAGGGAGCAAATAATGCACTGCTGTCTGCCGGCATGGCCCTTCACTGGGCTCACTTCCCGCCGGGTGGCTATATTCCAGCTTGGACGCGTCCGGGGATTTGAAGCCAGGCGCCAAGGACATGTTGCTCAAAAGCTCCGGCAGGACCAACGTCTTCAAGTAGGTGTTGCAAACTCTGCGGTCCTTCCGGCAGCGGTTTGGCACTTCGTGCTACAACTGCAAGGTATGTCATAAGTTGTGCACGTGTGTGTTTTCGGGGACAAGTAAACATCACTGAGGATGTCCCCTATCGTTTCTCTGTGTCTAGCACTGCACGCTAGTTGGAATGGTGATAGGCAAGGTCCCTTGCTTGACACCCACAGCGGTTCCTGGTCCATATATCTAAAATGTTGAAACCCAAACACTTGGATCCTGAAAACAATCATGATTCACCTCCATCTCAGTAAAAAGGTTTCGGTCAGGAGATGCTTCAACGCGAGCTATTTAGACCATATTGTTGATAATGAAGAACTACGTCAGAACCAGGTTGCAACGAGACCGGAGAAATGAGCTCGTTACGTTGAGAGCTTGAAGAAGGCACACAAGCCCAGCTTTCAGCAAACCACAGTTCAAAGAAACACCGCTTCCTAGAAAGAGCCTGACGTCAAGGAAAACAGGCCTTTGAAGGAAGAAAGGAGGCCAGCCACTTCTCCAACGTTCCCTAATTTCGAGACACCCACCAGTTGGGATTCATGAACCCCTGCTATGGATGGACGAAATCCTGCACCACTTTTGAAACCATGGTTGAAGCCACAATTATTACTTCATATTTACAGGGGAATCGAATCATTCCGGGGTTTCTTCTGTGGTGCGAAATGGATTTGTCCATCCACAGCACGGTTGAGCCACCAACATGCTTTTTGCCCGAGGTGCCCATTGGTCGGTGATGTGGCCCCCGTACATGATCTCTCCGAAGATGTAGCGGAGGTCCGGCCAGGGCACCTCCGTGCCCAGCTTCTCCGCCTGAAGCTCAGGCGATAGCCAGCAGTTCACATGGAACGGTGCCCACTGCACCATGGACCATGGACCTAGGGGACACTTCCCCATTCTTTCCAGGGATCCTTCTTTCCAGAAAACCATCAAAGCCCCAGGGCAAACAGCTGGTTTTTGAAAAGAACGATGGTTGAAAAGAATGGGGAACCAACCCCTAGAATGGAACCTGAGGGTCCTGGACCATTCTCCTTTTAAGGGGACCGGGTCCCGAACGTCAGGTTGCATGTCCTGACGTTTCGGGGGGGTCCTGGTTTGGACCATTTTCCTTTGTAAAGCACCGGGTCCCGAACGTCAGGTTACGCGCGAATTGGGAGGGTAATGGGTTCGACCAATGGTTCGGCCACACTAGGGTACACCTACTTGGAGAAACGACTAAATGGGTTGGCCTCAATAAAGGGGAACTGGATTCCTTGACAAGCAATATAAAGGGGGCATCCTCGAAGAAAAACAACATCAAATGGTTGACAACATGGTGGCGCCCTGTTAAGTTTTGGGGGACCCTGTTCCAAGGTGGCAAGCGCAGTCAGAGGGGTCCTTTCTTGCCCTCCCTCGGAAGACTGGTATCATTTCATGAGTTTCTCGTAGCGTCTTGGCGCGCATTCTGCATTGTGCATGATCCGGAGCTTTCCTGTGCTGTACAACGAGGCAGGGGGATAGCCGTCCCTGTCCATCATTAACCATTGATCCAAGACATGATGCTGGCTAGTTTGAAAGCCTACAGCCAAGGGTTTGTGCGTGTATCTCTCTTCAAATGTCGGAACAAGTGGCCACTACAACACTTCGACCGCGTTAGAAAAAACAAAACGTGTGCATCTTCCAGTTTGAGCGGCGTTGTTCAGGTAGTTGCACAAGACCTGGCCGCAAATGGTGAGGTCCCCGTCGTTGAAGGGGTACTTCTTGGACCAGCCTTGGGGTCCAAACTTGATGCGCCCCAGCACCAGGGCGTGGAAGAAGCCTCCGAATGCGTGGCGCAGCGTGGCGCGGGAAAAAGGCGCGAAGCGTGGGGGATGGGCTGGGGGAGTCTTTTGGGTCCCCCTTCAAACCAAAGACTACCTTCAAAAAAGCACGCGCCCAAAGAAACAGGGGATGGGCCATGCCGCAAAGGCGGCCAAGGGCAGTGATCTCTCAAGGAAACCTCCGAAACATCACCAGTCTGGAAAGGGAGGAGTTCTGGGTCATTTTGCACACCAAAATTGA